CTGCGTGAACCCACATCTCCCATGGACACACTCTTTCGCGAAATCTTCTCCTGAGGGATTTCGGCGTCTGCAATACTACCGCTTTCGCCGCCAGAGAACCAATCCAGCGAGCCTCCTTGGGCTGTAGATTCGCTTGTAGACGAAGCACGGTCATCGTCGTTGTACTCGAGTAATCGTTCTTGACGTTCAGCTTCCATTGCTTCCCGCTCCAATCGATCGTAGTCTTCGATCTGCGCCGCTGTTTCTCTTAGTCATTTATGTTTACTTCGCTCTGTCAAATTATTGGAGATATCTTCAAAAAGGAGGTACTTTATTGGGTGGGCTTTCGACACTGCAGCTTGTGCGTAGATGATAAGACGTTGATCGGGTAAGACTAGCACAGCATCAACCGCAGGGAAAGGCATCAACAGAGGAAAATACATCATCAATTTATTCTCAATTCTAGATGACGCTTGGATAAACATTGATTTTGCATCAAATGGACCCAATCGCGACAAGGTGTTGCTGCTGCCATTGATCGGCTCGAACGGTCTTACTGTTAGCGCCCTAGAAGCGAGGCTTGGAGCAGGACTCTCTCGCGTCTCCTTCTTACGCCACGAGAGCAAATCTTCTGTTGGGATCTTCAACAAATAGTAAAGTTTGTCAGATTTAAAAAAATTTAAGCTCGAGCTAGTAATTGCCTCCACAACCAAGGATGAATATGCCAAACGAAACTCGTCGGGCTCGTTCTCCACGCGTTATAAATGTAGTGGAATGTGCTTTTCATGCAGTTCCTGTCATCAACGTGGCGATCCATGTGCTCCAAACCATCGACAGTTTTTAGAGCAGCATTCTCGACATGTCGAACCAGCTTACCCAAATCTTCACTGGAAAACACTATTTTAGAAATACCCCCCGCAAGATTGAATATATGTAGCCACTCGTTGTGGTCCTTCAAACTTAATGCATCGTCCACGCCCTGGCACTCCGTTTTTTGGGCTACGAATTAAAGTATAGTGTAAAACGTATAAGTTTATCGTGTGTCCTTTTGATGTGTTTTCAAATCTTTGAAATGAACTTCTTTTGTTTTTTCGAAACCGTTGCAGGCCAGGATTATTTACATGGAAGCGCACATGCTATTAATCATGTCCTCGTCCATGATAAAAATTAAATACATTACCGCTCTCCTATTTCCGAAATGAATATATCGAAAGCATTCATTTTATTTTGTGCCGCCTCCAGATAAGATGCCCCAGGACGCGGTTACCGCTAATGCAACCGGCACTCGCGGACGCGCCGACGAACGTCGGCTCCTGCCCCGATACCGAGGCTCGGACCTTTCCAATACGCAGTGGGGAGGCCAAGTGGCGCCACCTGAACTCCTGGTTGGAGGCGGCGATAGCCCTTTAAATGGTGGAGAGAGCAGTGACTGCGAAATGGATGAATCGGAAGGTCATGCGAGTGCTGGAGAGGCGGAGAAATATGTAAGGGCTGGACGTCCGTCGGAAACAGATGGAACGGATGATGATGACGCTGCAATTACGTCTGTGGACCCGCCGGTGAAGTATCACGGCAGTTGGGAAGCTTGGCAAGAATATTTTGAGGACTACTGGCAACGGACGCTGCAAGTAATACCAGTCAAATATATCATGTCCAGAGCACAACGCAACAAGAGGCTCAAGAAGAAGAAGAAGGGTGAAGACGAGTCCCAGTTGGTGCCCGACGGCTACGACCCGTACCAGCGGACGTATATTTGCACTCATGGATGGAAGAAAAGGAAGTCCCGCAGCGAAGGAAGTCGTCCTAGACAGCATATCCGTCGTACGAATTGCCCGTTTCGTTTCGTGGTACAGTGGAATCTCGCTCGTGGAGAATTACAGGTCAAAAATAGTTTTTTTTGGCACAATCACCAAGTTTTTTTCTGCAGCCTTCGCTACGTATCCTGCTTCTCGTGTGGTGATGAATCCGCTCGTTGGTGCTCGGGTCGAGGGAAGGCTGGCTGTTAGCGCAAAAGGGTCCAGATTTTCTGATTACTAGCTGGAGCATGACGAGAATGTCATCCAGTGCGACGTGGACAATCTGGTGCGCCACCATGCGTCTGTTTCAAGTGCAGACGATAATGACGCTACCGCACGGGAAGATTGCGTTTTTCGCGGCAGCTAGCACAAAAAAACGTGTCGTCTGTTGGAGCAGACGACCTGTGGTGAGACGGGGGTTATTTCGTTAGCTTCGGATCATATGCGTCGTATGTACACCCACTTCAGCGAGATTCCGCTAGTCGATTGCAGCCACAAGACGAATCGGTACGTCCTTTTTAAACGTCCAGGATAACAAGGGTTCTAACCAGGATTCTCCAATTTTTTTAGATACAGCTACCAGCTCCTCGCATTCATGGCAATGAACGAATTCGGCGAGGGTGCAGTCATTCAGCACTCGCTGATAGAGGCACACTGAGATTGGCACATGGAAAGGGCGATTGATCACTTCAAGCGCTCTCATCCTACACTAATTCAGTGTCTACGGGTCATTGTCGTTGATAAGGACCTGAACGAGATTCGCGTGTTGGAATCAAACTTTCCAGACGCCGGAATCTCTCATTTGTCACTTTCACGTGATCAAGTACCTGAAGGAAATGAGGTCGAAGCCAGAATTCGGGAAAGTTTCAGCTGAAGATGCAGGTCAGATCGACGGAGCCATTCACAAGATGGTATACACTGCCTGTAAAGGTTTTACGAGACTGCGCATGCATCTCTCAAGGGAATCTGTGAGCGATTGAGTCTTACTGGTTTTTACGAATACTTCAAGAAGAATGGGATACGTGCCAAGATAGTTGGGTCTAATATTTACGAGCAAAGATGCCACACTTTAAGAATCATACCAATAATCGTTTAGAGAGTTTCTTTGGAAAGTTGAAATAAGACGTGGATGAATCTACGAGCATGGCGATGTGCGTGAAAGCGTTGGTCGTCCAGAATCACCGAGTGACTAATGAATAC